TACCAGCTTATTTTTCTTACATGCTGTTTCTATTCATTATATAAGTTAGTAAATGTTTACAAATGCTAGTAAATGTTTAAATTTTTCTCTTTTTTCTTTCCGCAGGAAGTTAAAGGATGTCACTTTGGGCGCAGGGAAGCTCTGATGGACATTTTTTCTCCACAGTTTATAGATTAAACGATTAATCAAGACAACTATTTGTAGATTGATAACTAATCCAAATAACATTCAGTTGCATGACTAGAAATTCAACAGAACGTGTCAAATCCTAAACAAGCCTCTTTATGAAATGTTATTTGCGTGTGTGTGCTCTTGTGTGGTATGTGTGTGTGTGGCATGTTGTGGACACATGTGCTCCACATGTGTCCACGATTTCCCTCACAGTAAAACAGTCCGTTTAGCTAACAAGATATTGGTTGTTTTTATTGGTCTCATCAAATGGAATTCAGTTTGACACCGAAGATAAGAATGGAAAAATGATTCATTGAAAAAAAGGAATTTCCCAGAAACTCGACTGCATTGTTTCCACAGCTGTGCGCAAGTAATCACAGTAAAACTTTATGGAGATATATGAATCTAAACACGGAGCAGTGATGTTTTAACATTCTCGCCTTGTGCCATTAAGCAGGGTGATCCATGGTTTACAGATGTCAACCAAGCTGATCAGAAATTGTGGGCCTCGGAGAATCCGTCTCCGTCGATGTTTATGCGTGCCTCTTTCATCTCTCTGCCATGCTGTTACTCCCATTTGTCTCCCTTGACTTCTTTTAAGCTTTTTTCATCCTCCCTTCTTTCCTGTTTCTGCTGCTATCAGTTTGCCTGCCTCGCTTTCTGAGCAGCATAAACACTGACTCTGTACAGCAGAACGCCATCAAGGCTCCGAAGGTTGTGAAGCAAAAGTTTGTGTTTTGAGAGCTAGTGCTAACATCACAATGCAAAGTGCATTCCAAGACCGAGGGAATAATCTGGGAAAGGTTTAGGTGTAAAATTACGGTGGCTGACGGGCGGCAAATGACGTGCATATACACGAACGAGCTGCAAAAGCAAAACACTGCAAAAGGAGAACGCTGCATATCCACACAACAGAAGTGCCACAGGCCTCTAGGGGCAGTAGTGAGCTTTTCACTTGAGAGGCAGACAACGGTGAGCAAGACGATTACCGTTAGTTGAGGGTAAGATATGTATTCTCTCGTCTCCATGGATAAACACAAAAAACAGAGAGAACACAGAGAGATGGTAGTAAAACACCACTTCAGCACCCATATAATCACAGTGACTGAAAAGCTAAGGACTTAAAAACTGCCCCGAGAGGCCTGTGGCACTTCTGTTGTGAGACTGGATATGCAGCGTTTTCTTTTTGCAGCGCGTTTCTGTTTATGCCACACAGGAGACGAGCGAATACATACCTTTTCATACAGTTTTTCTGTCAACTAACGGTAATTGTCTTGCTCACCGCTGTGTGCCTCTCAAGTGAAAAGCTCACTAGTGCCCCTAGAGGCCTGTGGCACTTCTGTTGTGTGACTGAATATGCAGCGTGTTTCTGTTGATGCAACACATTCATGTATATGGGGCTGCAAGGTGGTGCAGTTGGTTATCACTGTTGCCTCGCAGCAAGAAGGTCGCTGGTTCACGTCC